GTTAAAATATGCTGCCAACCGGTACATACTAATTCACCATGATGCAGTCCAGCCTACACTAATCCCTGTACCTTCACACTATTGGTAGTAGTGTCCGCAGTAAACATATCCGCCGATCTGCAGATTTTGGACCCTATTTAGGAATTTGTGTGCGACAAATTTTCAAATTTTATTGGTCAATAAACGTGTTGATTCTCGTCTAAATACCTAAGAATACCTCGTAAACACCTCAAAACACTCTAATAAAAAAAAACCCCCATTAGATTTGGCAAAAACCCATTGGATTCTGAAGGTGAAGAAAATGACAAAGCTGTGCGATTATAAGCCAAAACTTTTATTGAAAATAACTTACAAATATCTCTTTTCATAGAGTTTAACGAAGAAGAACTGCATTTATACATTTTATAAGAGCTGGACGCGTTTTGTTTGTAAAGTTTTATATAGTTACGGTACTAGTATTTAAAAACCAGCTTTTTCTAATAGTAAATATGAAACTAATTAATTATATAGTCAAATTTATTAACTTTTTATTCATCAACAGCCGTTCACTCTTTTACCCATCAGCATGATAACGGTTCCTCATACTCCTCCCCATACTCCTCCACCAAGTAACTTCTTTCTGTGTTCCACTTGTGGAAGACAATTCAAAAGTTCGCGAGGCTTAACACAACACACTAGGGTAATTAAAAAATATAATCAACGCCAAGGTCTTGATGATGTGCCTGCTAATACAATTTCCGAATTTAAAGAAATTTTGGTGATGGAGATACACAAAAAATTGGTTTTAAATTTTAGGTCTATGGGAAAGAAGTTGGTATCTATACCATGTCCTGAAAGTATTTTTTTTTCCATTTTTTCCGGGCATATTCATTATTATTCTAAAGCAAAAGGAAATTACAAATGTATCTTTCATGGTGATAGTGCATATCAAATTTTAAGTGAAATTTTGAATTCTGATCAATGGGGAAAAAAAGGTTATTCGCAAAAACAAGAAACGTATGTTGTATGTTTGAATCCTACTCCGTGGAATTCTAATTCACATGATCAATCAGAAGAAATAGATCCTCTTGAGCAATTGATTCATCAACAATCTAAAAATTACAAGAAAACTAGACGGCCAAAATTTTCGCATGGAGAAATTTTAGTGGAATGGAAAAAACGTGTATCAAGAGAAATTAACGGAAATTTATGTACAGCAGGGTATATATATTTCAATTTTTATATTTCACAATCCTTTGTATTATAGTTATAGACATATAGTATTTACTCTATCACTTATTAGAGTAAAAAAAAAAATAAATAAAAAATTGAAATTGGTAAACACGTTATATATTAATTAACTATAATAACTAACCAAATACAAAAATGCGCCTAAATAAATAAAAGTATTTATTAAATAAAATTAATTAATAAAATATAATTGTTCTTTTTATTTAATGCGAATTCTCTTAACTTTTGGAGATTTGGATAATACATTGTAATTAAAATAAAGTGATCTATTTTCATATT